TTTCTTGTCGCACTTGCTGCACTTACTTGCAGTAGCCTGTACTACATTTTCTCATAGGAGAATTCTGTTCTTGCTTACACGAAAGTATCGATCAACAACAAGAATTCCAAGCAAACACACATTTCTCCGTATTCCAATTACTGGCAAATTAACGATTATACTTTATACTTTTAACATTCCTTTCGCCGTTATACCGATTAGGATCGCGTAAGTACGCGTTGACCACTGCTCTAAGATCGGTAGTGAGGCTAGTGTGCATTATGTATACAGAGGAGAACCGAGTGAACAGAGTGCAGCTCTAACAAAGAGGGCACTCGACAAGACTGAGAGAACAGAAGAGCGATAGAGTGAGAATTAGAGTAACGAGTACAGAAACTGTATGCGCGCGTGCGCGCGCGAGTATGATCGTACTAGCTCTATGAATGATCGAATCAAATCGGATAAAGTTCAATCGAGTTGAATAGATGATATTCGCTCGAATCGGATTGGACGAATCGGTATCGAGCATCACTCGATCAACGCATCACGCTGCAGTTTCCAAAGGATAAATTCCAGCCTGCCAACTGAGCGAGGAGGAGATCTTCCTTTCCCCACGATCGACGACTTGCTCGCATTCTTCCACCGAGCTAGTCGCGAATAGTACCGAGGAAAACTACCTACACCATATAAAGTCGATCGCATCGTCCCGTCGACTTTGATCGACTTTGATCGGCGTTGTCATACATATCGGCGTCTCTCGTCTACTTGCACGCGTCCCACACGTCGATCCTCCTCCTCTTCTTCTTCTTCTTCTTCTTCTATCTTCCTCCTCCTCGTGTGTTTGTGTGTTGTGTCGTAAAGAGAGGCGCATGCGCCTCTCCCTTTCCTTTCCTTTCCTTTCCTTTCCAATGCATTTTCCTTATCAATCGTACGTGTATCTGTGTGTACGTAAACTTATATTAATATGTATAGTCGTTGCCTCGCCTCCATTACCTCACCCCTTTGTCAACTCCTCGTCGCTCCTTATCACCATCCCTGACGGAACAGCCTTCTACCCCTCCTACTCGCTTGCTCCTTTTCTTTCCCTCCTCTTCCTCCTCCTGCTTTTTCTTCTCCACCTCCCCTTCCCCTTCTTCTCTTCTTTTTCTTCGTTCGTCGATCGTCGCACCATCGATATCCATTCACCACCTTCCTACCTTCTTCCCGTATCTGATGAACTTTTACGCTTACACATTTTGCCCTCAACTACGAATCTCGCCATTTTACACGCAACACTGACAACAACTCCTTGATCAGCTCCTTCGACCAATATTCCAATGAAATATATATATCTAGATGAGATATATCGATGTACGTGAGTACCTACGTACTACGTTGAAAATAATTCTCAAGTACGTTGCTGATATTCCCGTTTCTTCGCCACGACTTTCATTCAATCCGCATCGCGTTCTTATTTGTCACGCAAATATGTAATAGCTTGTGTAGAAGCAAACGCTTACTTTTGTA